TGCCATGGTTGGCACTTCCCTTCGGCGACTCGAGGAAGAAATTCCTGAGCCGCAAATTCAGGGTATCTGGCATCCCCATGCTTGTGGCCATTGGATCAAGTGGCCAGACTCTCACGAAAGAAGCTCGGGATCTGGTTTCGCTCTATGGCGCAGATGCTTATCCTTTCACTGAGGAGAGAATAAAAGAAATTGAGGCAGAACAAGAAGAGACTGTAAAAGGGTGGCCTGAGAAGGTGACAAATGAAACACATGAGCATGAGCTTGCGTTGACACGCCGCAGGATCTATTTCTGCGATGGTTGCAACAAAGAGGGGCATGCATGGTCGTACTACTGTGGAGAGTGTGACTTTGATCTGCATCCAAAATGTGCATTGGAGGACAAAGATGATGCCAAGGAAGAAGACAAGTCCAAAGATGGATGGGTTTGTGATGGAGAAGTATGCACTAAAAAAGCCTGAAAGCTGCATGTGATGGCAGTTACAAGTTGTTTTCTAATGTTGCATACTTGTGAATTGTGATGGCCCTTCCTAATGTATGTTTTGTGAGTTGTTCAGAATAATTTGAACATTTGGATGTTGTATTGTGTGATGTTAATTATGGTGGTATTTAATATATGGTATTATGGTTTACTCTTATTTCTTCTTTTGCTTTACACTTCCTCTACTTCCTGTCTTTTAAATGGATTTCCCTTTCTGATCTTGGCTTTTGCTTCTAAATGATTCAAACCTTCAATAAAGTGTTGTTGTGCATCAACAGCTTTAGGATATCATCATATAAACGCATTAACGGATGTATGGCTTTACTACAAATATTACGATGGAGGCAGTAGCCTAAATTGTGATATTGTTCATATCTGTTAACTCCCTGATTTGGAGAAATAATCAAAGACATTTCAATGCCACGAATTGCTTTGCCTTTGAATGGAAAAAGCTTCAGAGAGTATTTTCATTACTTTGATGTTGATCCTTTGAATGACCAAATCCTTGGTATAAATATCATGCCAAAAGCCTATGATATGTGTACATGATACATGTGTATAAAAATTTATCAAATGTAATAAATATGTAATATATAATTACAATCCTATAAATTAAAATTAAGAACCACATTATTAGAAAACTTTACCAATCATTGTCATCATAAATCACTTTCTATTTCCATAAAGGATGCATATGATTTATATAAAAAAATCGTAAAAAAAAACGTATAATTCTTATTCTTAAAATTACCTATTATTTTCTTAAAATTACTTATAAAGAAGAGAGTTTTCAATTTTTATTTATTACTAAATAATGCTTTTATGTTTTATATCATACATGTTTTTTTTTATCTCATCATATTTAATTGTCTTAAATTTTTATAATTTTTTTGTCCATTTGTCAAGTTTCTTTGTTTCTATTAGTTAGGAGTTGTGAATAAATTCAATTTTCATTGTGTTTTATATCTTTTTCTATCGACTTATATTAGTGATGGATAAATGATATGTAATTTTAACGAAAATTTTCATAGAAATTGGTGGTTGACTTGTATAAGATCATATTTTATATCCTTCTTCTCTTTTTCTTCTCAATCCTTTTCTAAGTGGTGGTGTTGTGATTCAAGTAGTGGAAACCATGAATCAACCCGTTAATTTCGTTGCGGAGTCGATCGTTCTTTTTCTACCTTAGAGCAAACTTACCTGAGGTAAGGGAAACTAGATTTTTGTCCTAGAATGGGGTTGCTGAATGATGAACAAAGTATGAGTTATTTGTTGTATGCATTATTGTGAAATTCGTGGCTATGTGTCCTACAAATTCAAGTGGGTTGGTGAAAGTTGGGGTTTTGGGTTCCTTGTGAAGAATGAGATTAATTGAGTTAATTTGTAGTTGTATGTTGTGTTTGTGTACATTTTTAAGTTGGTTGTGATGCATATGTTTTTTGTTTGGTGTTGCATGTGTTGGATTTTGGTTGCATTGCAGGTTTTGGGCTTAAAATCAGATTCTGCATATGCAACACTCTAATACCTTGTCGAGCGCACCTTCAATGCGTCGGGTGTTGTTCTAGTATAAGGCTTTCTATCTCAATCATGTCGAACATAAGATTGGTGATGTTGGGCGTGAGGAAAGAGACTCATCTCGAGTTGGAATTGTGCTGAGAGTAGTTAAGCAACACTAGGTGTGGGAGTCACAAGAGTTCTATGACTTGGTAACAATAGGTCCAAAGTTGTGAGGCATCCAACATGGCTAAACTAGAGCTCTCTATTTGGATTTTGTCGGGCGTCGAGGTGGTGACACCAGGTGAGACTCAGGTAGAGACTCTTTACATGAGATGAGGTTGGGTGTGGTGTTTTACCCCATAAAGCATGAGGTCCTAGGGGATTTTGTCTTAGCCACATTGGTTTGGGTTGTGTAATGCTAGGCATGGATGAGGTAGAGAACTCTTTGCCTGGATCACACTGAGCGTAAGGTGAGTAGCATTGGGTGTGAATTATTGAAGAAAAATGTGATGATATGGTTGATGAAAAGTTGTTTTCTTGATGATTTAAGTTGTTATATGATAATATGATGAATGAGTTGTAGTGATAATGTAGTAAATGATGATTTAGATGTGAATTGTTAGTTGAGAAGTAAATGAGTTATAGGGTCCTAAGGGTCTCTACCTTAGCCATGTTGAGCCTAGGTTGTGTAGTGTTAGACATGGGCGAGGTAGAGAACTCTCTACTTGGATCATACTAGGCATAAGGTGAGTAACACTGGATATGAATTATTGAAGAAAAATATGATAATATGGTTGATGAAAAGTTGTTTTCTTGATGATTTAAGTTGTTATATTATAACATGATGAATGAGTTATAGTGATAACGTAGTAAATGATGATTTATATGTGAATTGTTAGTTGAGAAGTAAATGAGTTGTAAGGTGTGTTGACCTTATTGTATGTTGACCAAGTTGTGTGTTGACCATGTAGTTATGTTGAAAGTAGGATGTGTTGTTGAAATGCATGTGATTAAAAAGTTGAAAATGAGTTGTGTGACACCCTTACTACCCCAACACATATATTGTAGTTGATGTTATTACATAAGGTCGGTTCTTGTGATATGGTGTTGGTGTGTTTGGGGAGAAAAACAAATGTTAATAGTGTCGTTGGATGTGTTGAGCATGGTTAATCCATATACCTACAATGTTATATTTTAAGAGAAAATTTTGAGATATGAATGGAGGTTTTTTGTTAGCAGTGGTTAGGAAACAAAACAAGGAAGAATAGTGTGGTGGTGAAGGGTCTTTTTGTGCTCTTTTGTCAAACACATGGCATGCTAGAATCTATTTGTGGGTTTTGTGTGTGGAGATTATGCATTCGCCACATAATAAATACATGTGCAATGTTTAAATTAATTTAGTTTTGAAAAGACAACTCAGATTAGAAAGCTTCAAATTTAAAGTTTAGTAATAAATTTGTGTTATCTGGTTTAGTATTTATTGGACAACCACATGAATTTCAATATAGTCCAATCAACCATAACTTATTACCACACATCATCATTTAAGAAAGGAAATCTAATTCTAATAACTAAGTGCAACCCCAGAACGGGCCGCTCTGGTTTGAGAACAGGTCGTTCTGGATGTGAATTTTACACATGCCGTCAGAGTCCAGAACGAGTCGTTTCGGATTTGAAACGGATCGTTCCGGTGACGCCTGATGCCTATAAAGAGCGCTCTGGCACTCCCAAAATCACACTTTTCAGTTCTGACTTCTTTCAGTTCTGACTTCTTTCAGTTCTGACTTCTTTCAGTTCTGACTTCTTTCTTCTACATTCTCTTTTTTCCCGTCTACACTCTCTGAAAGATCGAGGAACTGATATTGTAATAAAATTCATGCAAGTATATAATAAACAATGAAATTGCAAAAATCAACTTCATAGATTTTTCAATAATGGTTATGACTTTTTGCACTTTACCTTATAAATTTCACGCTCACTTTAGAGGAATCAATTCCTTTTAAAACGACCATCATTCACTTTGTTTGAAAACAAATAGCCGAAGATCACAGAAAAGTGACATTTAAGTAGAGCAAGTTCCAACGAGGAAAGCCATTGATAAATGGGAAGATGAATAGCACCCTAACTTATAAAGGGAACTCATTCCAACACATTTGAAAGTGAATTTCTTATACACATAAATTTTATATCAGCACACTCGTCACTGACATGATCAGCTTAGTATTAAAATAGTGACATAATATCATTGCAGAATTGGACCACACGTTGAGCTAAACTACCACATGTTCAGATGTCAAAGTAAAAACATATAAAACTAGAACTCTACAAATCATGCAGCCAGACAAGGGGTAAAAAAAAATAAAATAAAAAAGGGTTATAAATAATCAATTATAATTTATAAATAACAAATTAACAACCATAAGAAAATTCATTGTTCCATGAGAGTAATTCTAAGAAGCTTGTAACATATATATCTACACACTTGCTGGTACATGACAGGGAGATATTAATAAAACGACAATAGTAAAACAAGATGTAAAAACAGAAACACAACTCACCAGACACCCAAATTTAACAGAAATCAAGAAAAATAAAAACAAACAGATAAGTGATTATCAAATCCAAATCTCTTCAGACAGAGACAAACCCCATAAGAAGAAGAACCCATAAATTGACAAAAGCTTAGTTTTCCACACACACACAAACAAGTTAAAAAGGTTTAATTTCCTTTCCAAGCAAGGAAAAGGCACAACTTTTGGAAGCAACAAACAAAAGGGTATGTTAAAAAGAGCACCAACCAGGCCACATTGAACTGATTTCAGAGAACCAGCCAGGAATCACAGATGATAAACCATTAACAAGAGGGTCTTTGCCACCCTCCACATCCATGGAAACAGAGACCCCATTTTCTTCATCATCTCTTTGCCTCTTCACTGGGGACTCAACAACGCTATCGTCAGCCATGGCCTAACCTCTCTCCCTCGGTGAGAACAATCTCTCAAGTAACACTCTGTTTGGCTCTTCCCAGCTTCGTGAGATATTATTGGGGAGATGGAATAGCATAAAGGGAAAAGGGTGTGGGCCACGTGGGAATATAGAAAGGAATCTGCTTTTAAGGGATGCGTTTGACGTGCGCTTTGGTTTGGGATCGGAGCATTGAAGGAAGGTGAAGTGCTTGCCAAACACGGCCTTAGGATATGCATGTTACGTGTTGCTTCCTGTCAAGTACATGTGAAAGTGATGGGAGTCTCCGTTAGGTTTTCCTTGGAATAAGGCTTCTTCTTTTGCTTTGCCTTTAATCTCTAATTCGTTACCATATCTTTGTCTCCAACCTTAGTGCTTATCCTCTCATTTAATGGGACAAAAACTTAGTACAATGCTTTAAGGGCTAGTTAAAATAAAAAAAATCACACTTTTTATTATTTTTAATTTTTCTAAATTAATTTCTCATTCAAAATTATTTTATTTTAAAAATGGTCTCTAAAACGGGTATTTAAGAAATCCACAAACAAAATCAAGTGAGAGATATTTTTTCATTCTGTTCTTCTATTTTGTGGTCCTAACTAAAAAAGTATGAATCGTCTCATCTAGTGATATGATACTGTATGTGGTGAGAAATAAATATTAGCGTGTGGGATTATTTAAAAAAGGAAAACTAAA